CTTAATCATCTTACAGATTTTTAAACCTCAAAATAAAGACAGCTATTTAAAATTGTCGAAAGTGTATTTATATGGAAAATGATAATGACGTGGAGCTGCCTCTTCATAAAGGTTTAGCATCAGCAGCCATACTTGAAGTTGGAGATGCAGATGGTGATGATAAAATCTCACACAAACACAATGAGGATCATGGTCAACATAGTAGACAACAGCAGCAGCCCAGCGCCAACATTACTCGAATAAAGCAACTTAAGTTGCAACAACTAGAAGAGTCGTTGCAGATCAGGGAGAGCTATTTGCGGGAAAAATTTAAAATCCTCACTGCAGGTAGTGACGACGAGGGTATCGTGGAATCACATTTGCCTGAAGTTGGGTAATTACCTCAGCTTAATGCACATCAAGCCGTAGCTGATGAACACTTTTCGCCACATGGCCAACCTCATCTACAGAGTACACCAAGGTTAATAAATAATCCATCTCTTTATACCTTACAGATCGCTCCTACGCTTACGCCGTCTCAGCTAACAGCGCGTCAATGCATACCGAGAAATTTGCCTACGTTCCGCGGCGATCCAGAAGAATGGCACATTTTTATAAGTGCGTACGAGCAAACTAAGCAAATCGCAGGTTTCACCGATTACGAATGTCTAATGCGCTTACAAAGGTCCCTCATTGGTAAAGCGCGCGATGTAGTACGCAATATGTTGGTGTTGCCTAATATGGTTGAAGAAATAATAAACACTCTTCGTATGTATTTTGGACGACCAGAAATTATTTTAAATAAATTATTGAGAAAATGCGTCAGTTACCGCCTCCAAGGGGTAGGCTGGGCGATTTAATTGACTTTGCAGTCAACATTAATAATGTAGTTGCAACAATTGAGGCATGTAAGTTGAATAGTTATTTTAATAATCCACTCTTATTACATGAGCTAATAAGTAAATTAGCTGAAGATATGAAGCTCAAATGGGCACTGCATTCAGCATCAATAGCCGAACCTACACTTCGCGATTTTTCAGGGTGGCTCTCATCTTTAGCAAATGCGGCAAGTAGAGTAGCTACACCTTCTTTTTTAGATAAACCACTAAAAAAGGAAGGACGAGTGCACGTACATCAGACAGCTGAAATGACAACCACGGCAGTTAGGTGTTACATTTGTGGCGGCGGACATAAAATAATGGAATGTGAAATATTCACGAACGAACCTACCAATCAACGCTGGCGCATTGTCAAGGAAAAGAAGCTGTGCCGACAATGCTTAGGCGAGCATAAGCGTCGCTGTTTCAGTAATAAAGTGTGTGGCATTGATGGCTGCAATGCACGACACCACCCCATGCTGCATTCTCGGATAGATCAATCTACGCCAGCAATATCTTCTACAGCTAACAATGTTTCATCGGATATAGTAGAACAAATAAGTTTAAGTCTATACTCAAACAAAGCGTTACTCAACAACCATAATTCATCAATGAATAAAAACTAGTCATATTGCCGAAATCTTCCAGTTACTTTATATGGCACCAAAAGGACTATTAACACATATGCATTGATGGACGATGGGTCAACACTAACGCTTATTGAAGCAAGTCTAGCCGATGAATTGGGAACCGATGGTATCCAGGATGCGCTATGCATTAATTGGACAGATAATATCAGTCAACAGGAAAATAACTCAAAAAGGCTCAACTTACAAATTTCTGCCAATGCTCCTCAAGCTAAAAAATTCCCATTGAAAAATGTCCGCACAGTAAGCAACTTACGCATGTCAGCAGAATCTTTTGCAGCTGATAAAATAAAACAAGGGTATCCGCATTTAGATGGCTTGCCTCTAGCAAGTTATACAAATGCTGTCCCCATGCTGATTATCGGCGTAAATAATCCAAACTTAATTTCAGCACTTAAGGTGAGGGAGGGTGGCTGCCAAGAACCCGTGGCGGTGAAAACACGTCTTGGTTGGACAGTTTTTGGTGGTGGTGAATTAAACCACCGCAACAACTTAAACCTACACAAATGTAGCTGTGGACAAGAAGCTGATAGGGAGCTTCATGAGTTAGTAAAGACATTTATAGTAAACGAGAATGTCGCGGTGGCTACCCCAAAAGCAGAATTACTTTCAGTTGAGGATCAGCGAGCAGAGGAAATAATGCGCAAGTGCCAGTTACGCGGAAACCGCTACGTTGTCAATTTGCCATGGAACACCGATACGGTCGAATTGCCAAATAGCTTGCCGATGGCATTACATCGAGCGGAGTGCTTACGTCGAAAAATGCATGGGGACCCTGAATTGTGTCAAAAGCTAAAGGAACAAATCACTACTTTATTCAGAAAGGGCTACGCAACTGAGTTGCCACCAGAAGCAATTAACGAGCGAGGTGGGAAGATTTGGTATTTACCAATTTTTATTGTGCGCAATCTATTTAAACCGAAAAAGCATAGATTGGTTTGGGATGCTGCAGCCAAAGCTGCAACTCTTTCTGGCAATAGTTTGCTGAATTAGCTGAAACTACAGAGGAAGCTAATCAGCCTATTACCAAAAATTTTAAATCGCCTCCGATATACCTGCGTGAACGTAGCTCAAATAACCTAGTCACAATCCTTGCACATCTGATTGGAAATAATACTTTTCTTATTGTTCCTATAACTAGGGGCAATATACACGAAACTAAAATCCAAATCGACACTGAAAACAATTTTAGAGTCATAACCAAATATTTCGAGGACAGCAAAAAAAATTACTACACATTAAAGGTATTGAGTCAGATGTAGAACTCATTGAGATAACAAATACCCTAAGCGAAAAAGGCTTTAGCGCTAGAGCAGTTATAAACATTGTTAACAAGGGTAAAAACCTACAACCTATGTTCAAAGTTGAACTTTACTCGGAAGTATCTAAGTTTAAAAAAAATGAGAGCCATCCCATTTACTTCACTGCAGAATTAGCGTTGAGGAGCCCCACAAAAGAAATGGTCCGGTGCAATGTACAAACTGCCAAGAGTATAGCCATACTAAGTCATATTGCACTCTTCGTACAGTGTGTGTAGGTTGTGGTGAACTTCACCATAGTTCCGAATGCGATAAAAAAGCATTAAAGGATACCAACGCCAAAAAATATAGCAACTGCAGTGGAAATCACACTGCAAACTACAGAGGCTGTTATATTTATAAAGAACTGAAGCACAGGTTAGCACAGCAGAAAGAAGCGTTGCGTAATCCTACAAGAAGCAACCCCATAAAATTAGTTGAAGTACCCCAACCTTTAACTTCTAAGCCTGTTATACCAGGTGTTTCATAAGCTAATGTTGTTTAATCTGACAAGTAACAAGCCCCTCCAGTTCAAAGTAATAATTTGGAAATGATGATCTCCACTCTCATCCAGAGTTTAACTCAGTTCATGTCAATCATGCAAACTACTCTTGACGAGATAGCTAAAATGCAAAGTCAATTAATGCAAATGTTTTTGTCTAATAAATGAGTACTCTAAAAATTTGTTCATGGAATGCAAGCGGCTTAAACCAACATAAACTTGAACTCACACATTTCATGTCCCGATAAAGTGTGTATGTAATGCTTTGCTCAGAAACACATTTAATAAACAAAAATTTCTTTTCTATTCCTGGTTATTTATTCTATAAAACCAATCACCCAGATGGCAATGCACATGGTGGTACAGGTATTTTGATACGAAGGCGTCTAAAATACAAATTTTTTACATACATAGGCTCATAATTATATGCAAGCCACATCAATATGCCTTAAGCACGAAGGGAAAAATTTAACTTTATCGGCTCGCTTCGCTTTAACAATACTGACACCCAATTTACGGATTACTTCTTATCTCTAGGTGACAGATTTCTTGCAGCAGTAGACTACAAAAGATAAACCCAAAAGATAAACAGCTTCACAATTCCATTGTAAATAGAAAAAATGCACTAGACGTAATCTCTCCTGGGCAGCCAACATATTGGCCTGCTGATAACAATGAAATACCAGACCTAATAGACTTCGCTGTAACCAAAGGCATGTGCAGAAACACCATCCCTAAAGACTATAAAATGTACACATACAATAAAGTACTTACAAATAGTGACATAGAAAACTTAGTTTCACAAAAACGTAAGGAAGCCCAAAGGAGACTTAAATCTGGATTAAGCAAGGAAACCAAAGTCAGGCAATGTAATTATATTCTCCAATAAGAAACTCTTTCGGAAACTGAGCGCGA